CATTTTTTTTTGTTAATAATTGTCCGAAAGTGTGTTAGACCATGTGTTAGTAATGATACACTCCTGGTCCATAACAGTTTATTCTCTAGTAAGAAAAATAACAAGTCTATATGTGTCTGTATTTCAGAGCTGGATCTGGTAAGTATTATAAGACTAACACAAAAGCAAGCATTGTTAGAATTATGCAGGAGTGAGAGATCATGGTTTTATGAAAGAGAGTGTCAGATGAGGCTCCATGTATGGGTGGGATTTGAGATGGGGCTAACTAGCTAAATAAAGTATTACCAGAGGTAAGAGAGAGAGCATTGTGGAATGGGAAACAGTATGATTAATAAGGGCATTAAGGTTAAAAAATAGTGAATGACTCATTTCTGGCTGCAACATAAAGAGTAGTGGGAAGTAAGGTTGAAAAGATTTAGGAGGATGTCTCTGGTTGAAAAGTTGGAATCATAGAATCACAGAATGTTTGAGCCTGAAGGAATTGAGGAAAGTCTGTTTCTCAAATTCACAGAGTTGGAACCCTCACCCAGGGAAGTTAAATGCCTTTTGCAGTGTTGTACAGCTAGGTAGTGGCAGGTCTTCTAACTCCTGCCTGAGTTCAGCCTAGACAGCACTATCTAGGATAGCTCACATAATGTTAATCTGGCACTGGCTGACAATGGATTTGGATGCTGGCAGATGAGAGATTGGTTTGGAGAGTGATAGAATATTCTAGCTCGTAAATAATTAGCACTTAAAACAGAGTGATGGCACTGTGACTAAAAACAAGGAAACACATTTGGGGCATTTTGCACAGGTAAAACTATGGGACAAAGAGTTGTCTAAGATGATGTTATTTCCAGTGTAAGAAGCTGGCGTCCTCAGACATGGGAGGTGATGAGGACTACTTCCAACACATCCTAGGGAACACTCAGCACTTCTGAGTTGTTTTTACTCTGCCAAGATAAAATGGCCTCTTTGAAACAATAACTAATGAAACTGTTACATTCCTATGGAGTTGGTTTTTTCCCCAGTACTGTATTTTTATTTACTTACTTATTTTACCAATACAATATTTTTAAATTTAACAATTTCAGCCATCTCAGTATGGACTAAAGCATCTAGATGACATAACGCTTATGTTTTACTAGGATTGCCACTGTGATTTTGGCAGCCACTTTACAGTCTGGTACTTAACATATTGAGCAATTTCCCCTGGAGGTTAGTCTGAGAGAGTTAAGGATTTGGAAAGGAAAAAGATCTTTGTTAGGAAAACCGGCTGAGACAATGTAATGTCAACTTGAAGAAAAAAACCCATAATCATAACTACTATTCATTGAGTGCATCCTTGTGCCCAGTTGCATTAGGCACTTTTCTCATTGAATCCTTGTGATAATCTCCACTTTATAAATGAGGACACTAAGTTTAGAGGGAGGAATAAATAACTTTGCAGAATTACCTAGCCAGGTAAGTGTCAGAGCTTCAGATTCAAGCTCAGATCAGTCTGGCTTCAAAGTGCATGCTTTTGCTATGCTAGTCAGCAGGCAGTGTATATCAAGGAAATACCCCTTACTGCTGAGTTTTTATATTACCCCTAATTTGGAAACAGTTGGCTTTTATAGTAGAATATTTTCTAATTTCTTACAGATATATAATTTCTGATTGACTTTTAGGAGAAAAACACTCAATTAGTGACAGTTATGATGTGTTTTGTTTTCTAGGGCATATCTGGAATCTGAAGTTGCTATATCAGAGGAGTTGGTTCAGAAATACAGTAATTCTGCTCTTGGTCATGTGAACTGCACGATAAAGGAACTTAGGCGCCTCTTCTTAGTTGATGATTTAGTTGATTCTCTGAAGGTAAGTTTATTTTGCTTTGCATTTTTGATATACCCAGAATTTAGTATCAAAAGAGTTGGGTGTAAAAATGTATTTTTCTATATTCAAGTAAGTGATAAATACTAATTAAATCACATTTCTATGAACTTGTGTTTTAAAATTCAGAATCCAATCAAGGATGGAGAAGAAGTGCTATTCCTTTTTTTTTTTTTTTTGTCATACTTAATACTGAGAGTCCTGTATTTCTTTGTAAAGGAGAATCAGTTATAAATCATAGTTTTGGAACTCATAAAGATTAAAAGGAAGAGAAAATTCAAGGGAATTTTGACTATAAAGATCATCTAATGCATTTAATACCAGATGTGACTTATTCATCCTGAGTTTGTTTTACAGTCTAGCACTTAGTTTCTTAGCTTATATGTGATTCATACATATGTGAAAGCCATTTTATGTCTTGGACTCTTTCTTACAGTGTTTATTCTAGCAAAGATTTAATATTCTGAAACACCTCAACTAATCTTTAATTGGTAATGACTGGAAGTTTTTCTTTAGTTTTTGCGTCTTGCTACATAAGCAGCCGTTAAGAGTCTCACCGTGCAAATAAACTCTCCCAAAGTTCTGACTGACAAAATAGGCACTAAATCACAGTTGTGTAATTTAAGCCTCTGTAGTGGCTTTTCTTTTTCATAGAAGTTGTCATTTGTGTTTTATATGCTCTTGCCTGTGACCCTAGAGAAAACAGGCAGACTTGTTTCCAATCTAAGCCTGGGCAGAAATGTAGTATGGTGGTAATTCTCATAATTTTCCATTTTCAAGAGAAATGTTCTAGTTTATATTTATCACACATGCCAAGATATAGTAGCAATAAGGTGACTGGGCCTTTAGACTCAGAAAAACAATTTCTGAACTGGTCAGAATAGGTTTAAATGCTTAAATTGTTTGTTTGTTTGTTTTTTAAACAGTTTAGCTTTTAAAACCCGGTAAATGATACATTATTTTCAGCTGTTTGCGTCTCTGGTTACAGGGGTGAGCCACTGCGCCTACCACATCTCTTATTTTATTTATGACTTGGAACTTAAGTTACTTCATAATAACATGAAGGGTAAATAATGTAGTTTCCTTTTATTACTTACCTCTATCGCACAGAGTGGTTGCATTTAGTGGCTAAATCTGTAGTGATGTTTTAAAATGATCTGATGTCAGTTTGTAAATAAAAAGATCATGCTTACGTTGTTTGGCATGTTTGATTAATTGGTTTCAAAAGAGATCAAGTAAAAATATTTTGGAGCAAATGAAATAGAACCTTGTACATAACAGCGTAGAGGAAACCAGTTCTTATTCATGTAGTATTACCTTCTATACATAGCTGATTTCTGGGGTAGAACGTGTGAAAAGTGATTAAGAGGGAGGTACTGATGCAGTTTAAGATGGATGGTTTGTGGGTAGGAATTGATTGACAAGAAACACCGTCTATAGATAGTAATTCAGAGCTTCAAACAGCAAAGGACCATTTCTAAATTTAGCAGTCAAAGATTGGTGGGGGAGAGAGGTGATTTCAAACAAAAGCCTGGTGAGCTTGATAGAGGAGAGGTGGTTGTTGTTTTTATAGATTCAATTAAAATGGTAACAGAGATACACCAAAAGTCATCCTCCATGTTTGCACAATATAGTAGTAAAGGCAGCTGTCTACAATTTAACATTTTTCTTGAGAGAAATGTCTTTCTTTAATAAATATATATTTTTAAATTGATCTGGGAATTATTATGCTCTAGTTTTCTGAGTTTGAGTATAAAGTTTCCACTTGTCTTTAATCGAAAGAAAACTTATTTTTTCTTGCAGAGAAAATTTTCATCCATACACAGTCCAATGTGTAGACACTTATGTAGGTGTAGAAATATTTGTCAGGAGAGAGAAATGTTAGAAGAGGACTGATGAGATCTTAAGAAACATTTTAAATCTGTGTTTTGCACAGGTACTTGAAAATAGAATATGAGGACTTTTTTTGAATAAGTTCTGAGAAATAATTTATTTGACTTAAGTTCCAAGTCATAATTTCTTTGTTAAGTCTTTTAATTTCTTTTGAAAACTACAGTTTTTTATAAAAGCAGTTGTGTTATTCATGAGGAAGCTAGCATAAATGAACTTGAAATAAATGAAATTGAATTTGATAAATCTTGTGTTGAGTGATTGCCAATTTCAAAGTAACAGAAAGTGACACATAACGAGATAGATTTCCTTTCTGAAACACTTGTTTCTTAGTATTGAAAAAAAAAAAAAGGACTTTCATTAAAATTACAGTTTCTCCTTAAGGATTAGCAATACTTTTAAAAATAAAAGAGAAAAAAAATTTACTTGATTGGTTTCCCTGAGTAGTGTTTTTGGCAAGCCCAGAGCTCAAGGAAAGTGTTTGGTGACTTCCAGATTGCAATTTGTTTAGGACTGCAAATAAGTAACAGTTGCTTCATCATGTTAGCACTTAAAGTGAACCTAGCATTGAGATCTCAAAATCTATAGGCACATGAATAAGGCAGGGAGGGAGTCTGTCCTTTTCTCCCCATGAAAGGTGATGGGCATGAAGCCCTTGGTAATTCAGGTGCACACTCTGATAATGTATGTGAAAGGTCTTCCTTTATAAACCTTGTGATTTTGCCACACAAGAATTTAGCTAAACCCTTTTCTAATGTCATTGTATACAAATAGTATAGATTCCATCTGTTTTTTCCATTGAATATAAGCATACTACAGAAATACCGAATACTTCCTTAAAATACCTTTTACTGAAAAAAGAAGCTAATCAAAAAAAAAAAAAAAAATCAGTTTGCCTCTCTATAAAAAATGCTTGATAGGATTACCTTTCTAGTGAGACTTCTATGTATGGCCACACTTATCCCCCCGGCCCACCAGTTTTTGTTTATATAGAGAGCATTTTAAAAAGAAAAAGATTTTAATCCCAGCACTTTGGGAAGCCAAGGTGGAAGGATTGCGTGAGACCAGGAGTTTGAGACCAGTCTGGGCAACATTGAGAGACTCTGTCTCTACAAATAAACACTAAAAAAATCAGCCAGCCATGGTGGCCCATGCCTGTAGTCCTGGCTACTTGGAAGGCTGAGGCAGGAGGATCTCTTGAGCCCAGGAGGTGGAGGATTTAGTGAGCCATGATCACACTACTTCACTCCAGCCATGGTGACAGAGTGAGATCTTTCTCTTTAAAAAAAAAAAAAAAAAAAATCTTAAAATCTTAAGTTCCGGCTGGGCGCGGTGGCTCAAGCCTGTAATCCCAGCACTTTGGGAGGCCGAGGCGGGTGGATCACGAGGTCAAGAGATCGAGACCATCCTGGTCAACATGGTGAAACCCCGTCTCTACTAAAAATACAAAAATTAGCTGGGCATGGTGGTGCGTGCCTGTAATCCCAGCTACTCAGGAGGCTGAGGCAGGAGAATTGCCTGAACCCATTAGGCGGAGGTTGCGGTGAGCCGAGATCACGCCATTGCACCCCAGCCTGGGTAACATGAGTGAAACTCCGTCTCAAAAAAAAAAAAAAAAAAAAAAAAAATCTTAAGTTCCTTAATAGTGGACTCTATTACTTTTTGCCTTTTAGCCACAAAAACTGGTAGGGAAAGCTATATTCTCTCATCTTAACACAAAAAAATGTGTTTTCAATTCCCACTCTTTTTTTTACTTTTTCAGCATAAGGAAAGATATATTTACCTTGTTTAAACTGATTAATTCCTTATAGTCAAATTTTAAATTTGTGGGAAGTTGCTAATAGCCCCAGTCTTTCCAGTTTAGGTGAATTTTTTATCTTATTTAAATAACAATGAGTTTTAAGAAATTTATAGGAGCCACCTTTTTATTATAATTACATTGATTTTATATGATATAGCTAGGACTCATTGTCTTCATAAATGCAAGATCTGTTATGTGCCCTCAGATTTATATAATCTACATTTTTAGATTCTGGGTCACAATTATCACTGTGTGTTTTTTTTTTTTTTTTTTTTTTTTTTTTTAATAAAATGAAGTCTCGCTCTGTCACCCAGGCTGGAGTGTGGTGGCGCAATCTTGGCCCACTGCAACCTCTGCCTCCCGGGTTGAAGCGATTCTCCTGCCTCCGCCTTTCAAGTAGCTGGGACTACAGTCACCCACCACCATGCCTAGCTGATTTTTGTATTAATAGAGACGGGGTTTTGCCAAGTTGGCCAGGCTGGTCTGGAACTCCTGACCTCAGGTGATCTGCCTGCCTTGGCCTCCCAAAGTGCTGGGATTACAGGTGTGAGCCACCGTGCCCGGTCTACAATTATCACTATATCTATTTGAAACCATCTTCTTCAGAAATTGAAAATTTAGGGCCACTCTTGCTAGCACATGAAAGCTTTTCCTTGCTTATTACCTTTTGGCCGGGGCAGTGAAGGAGGATCCTGGGTCTTTCAAATATAACCAAAGAAATAACCAAATTCCAGGGCTCATCAGTCCTTTTTATAAACACTAATATGGAATGATGGACATCCATGTGCCTGGAGTTTTCCTGGTTGTTGACTTGGGCCAATAAAAATAAGACATGTTGGCCTGGTGTGGTGGCTCATGCCTGTAATCCCAGCACTTTGGGAGGCTGAGGCGGGCAGATCAGGAGGTCAGGAGTTGGAGACCAGCCTGACCAATATGGTGAACCCCCAATGCCGTGTCTACTTTAAAAAAAAAAAAAATTAGCCAGGTGTGGTGGCGCACACCTGTAGTTGCAGCTACTCAGGAGGCTGAGGCAGGAGAATCGCTTTAACCCGGGAGGCGGAGGTTGCAGTGAGCCAAGATCGTGCCACTGCATTCCAGCTTAGACAACAGAGAGACTTCGTCTCAAAAAAAAAAAAAAAAAGTTCTGCAGAGTTCTACTTTTAAATTCTTGTGTAATGTTCCATTTGTTTTGTCCTTTGCAATTAACTACAAACTTCTAAGTCCTAGAAAAGATTTCAAGTATTCATAGAGTGAGCAACGATCAGTTTCCTAGTCAAATAGATCAATTTCCTAGTCAGCCAGTTTAAAAAGTTGTGGCATTAAACTGTAAATCTTGGGCTGTAATCCTGCACCCCACTTCTCACCCCCAGTTATGAAAGAAAAGCATATGACAGTCCCTACTGGGCTCAGCATTTGGGCTAATTGAGTATGACTCTGAGCCTTCTTAGCAAGTTCCTGTCTTTTGAAACCCCAAATCCCAAAAAGATGTCTAATAATTTTACTTGTTTAGGGACTAAGACCAGGTATTTTCAGCAGAGGTTCTTACTTTTTTGTAACTGAGGCAACCATAATGTTCCATAATACAATCTTAAATCTGAAAGTGAGGGAGGGGTAGGAACCGGCCTGAGCTTCAGAAATAGCTGACCCAAAAGAACACTCAAATCTAGCCCTCAGACTCATAGGCAGCAGCTTGGACATCTGCTTTTTGACAGCTTCCTTTTAGATTTCTTGAGCTCTCAGAAAAATTAGAAGGAAATGGGCTGGGGATGTAGACAGTCCAGACAATATCAACTAATGAATGAGTCTGAAAGAGACACAGAAGGGCAAGTCGAATTTAGAGTTTGAGAATGCAGAAAAGTTTTGAAATGGTCAGAATTGCCAGAGTAATTTCTGAGATAGTATTAAGCACCCTCCCTGCATTTGCCTTAAAGTTGCCCCTTTCTCCCAATTGAAACATCAAAAATCTGCAGTGCCCTGTAATCAGGTATGTGATACATAGTGAATTTAATTCTGTTATTGCCCTGGAAGAAGGATAAACAAGACATGGTCCTTGCCCCTGTTCAGTGAGTATTTGTTAGATCTTCATTACATTTTGGGCCTCCTTCCTCCAGTCTCATTACTGTGCAAAGAAGAGATAAGCTTTGACCTCTACGGTTAGTAAGTATTGGCTATAATGTTGCAGAGTCTTTGCCATGGAATCGCATAGAATTTGTATGCTATCAAAATGAGAGCAGCCTGTTTTTTTCTTTAAAGTGGTGTTTATTGCCTTATTCCTGCCATGTTACAAATCCATCATTTCCATTAATAATGGTTACTCTCTAGCTGCCATTCATTTCTCTCCTGATGGTGTGTTCCATGGATACCCTTATCCACTGTTTTTGTTCTGGGCCCCCGAAGTGTTAAATTTCTCAGCATAGCTGCAACATTTAAAAATTATATGAAAGCACACAGGTGTACACTTCTGGCAGCATTGGCCTGGAATGTTTGCATGGCCACAGTATATGGAGCTGGGTTGTAGGGGCCCCTTTGCGAGGAAGAATGCATATCTCGGTGTGCCTCAATTCTCTCGCAGCCTCTCACATACATGTATGTCACCTGCCTGTTCCTAAGGTCATTTGAGACCTCTCTCTCTTCTTCTCTTTGCCCTGGGATAGCCTGGCTTTTACGAAGTGTTCTCAAAGAGGCAAGTGACATTTGAGCCCCTTCAATGGTTCAGGTGTAAAGTCTTGGGCCTTTCTCCTTGGACTTGGAGTGAAGCCTTGTCAATGACTGTAATGACCAAATTAGGATTTATTTTTAGCTTGTGTTTGTTACTATCAGAATTCTGTCATGTTAAGGCCATCTTTGTGGCTAAAGCAATTTCTTCTAAAATGTGGAAGGTCAACACTTTTCCCTTTAGACTTGTGGACAGTGATGGATAAAAATACCCCTCTCGCTCTGTAGTAAACTTGTTCAAGTGCAGAAGTTATATTTAGCTTCAGCAACAGGAGTCTATAAAACTGTATGTGAGAAAAGAGCCTTGCTAACTGAAGTCATCCTTCAAACCTTTCTCCCAGGGGTTCCAATGGCAGTTGCTAAGAATAGGGCAACTTAAATTTTTTTTTCAACTGACAGATATTTAAAGTGCCTGATATTTACTGACTTGGACATTAGTTAAATTCAGGTGGGGTGACCAGAGTGTTGTTATTTGTAGAACTGTTGGTTGGTAGAGTAATCCAAAGTGTCTTCCTAAGCTGTAGTAAGTATGCTTACTAATGTTTCACACCTTAATTATGCTCAGTAAGCAGTCAGAGTTCGTTGAATACATGGAGAAAGATGCACTTCAGATCAAGTGTTCAGCAAACCACTGCCTGTTTGGGCCGTGGCCTATTTTTGTATAATGCGGGAGCTCAGAGTGAGTGGTGTACATTTTTAAAGGGTTATGACAACAACAAAGAATAATATGAGATACAGACCTTATGTGGCCCATAAAACCTCAAATTTTGCTGTCTAGCTTTTCATAAAGTTTGCTGATCCTTGCTTTAGATAATGGGGGTGCTCTACTACTCTCCATTTCATCTGTACTATTATAATAGGCCTAAATAATCACTGTAGATGGTGGCATCATGTTTGTTACCTACTGAATAAGTCAGAGTGATGGCCAGACATACACATTGAAGGCTTTGAATTAGAAAGCAAAGGAATTGGTGACAGTAAAGGAATGTTTAAGAAAGTTCAGACTGATTTTGTGTCTGATCCTTCAAAAGCTAGAGGTGATATTTTTGGTACCCGAAACATAATTTCCCTGATAAATACTCTTTGCCCAATTATTGCTTATCAGCTGCCTGAGATATTGTCTGAATTGTTCAGCTCATGCATCTTCAAGCACTCAACTAGTTAGTACTTTGAAATCAGTTTTAATAGATAATTATCATAACACATTTCCAGTCTTCCCATTTAAAAGCTGAATGCTATTAGTGCTGGAGGGGTAAGATGCACCCTGGGTATATTTTCTGATCTCAGCAGAATCAATTACTTGGTAGTGTAGTCCAGAGAAAATGGGTCAAATCTATTATTTTAGGATTCTGAAATTCTTAATTGGGATTGGCGACTTAAAAAATTTTCACGGTACTTTACCAAGTCTTCAAGTTGTATGCCTCTTGTAGATTGGCATTTAAATGGGATGCTTTTATTTGAAAGCTTTACTTGAATTTTGTTTATAATAAGCTAATGTTATTTTCCTATAGTTTGCAGTGCTGATGTGGGTATTTACCTATGTTGGTGCCTTGTTTAATGGTCTGACGCTACTGATTTTGGGTAAGTCTACAAAGCCATTGGGATGAACAATTGCTGGAAAAAAAGATTGAGTGCCAGGAGCTTAGACATTTTAGTGGAAAGTAATTCTCACTGTATGAAAATTAGAGGATGAAAGTTTGGGCCTAGCACAGTGGCTCATGCCTGCAATCCCAGCACTTTGTGAGGCCAAGGTGGGTGGATCACCTGAGGTCAGGAGTTCCAGACCAGCCTGGTAACAAGGTGAAACCCCTTTTCCACTAAAAGTACAAAAAATTAGCTGGGCATGGTGGCACACGCCTGTAATCCCAGCTACTCGGGAGGCTGAGGCAGGAGAATCACTTGAACCCCGGAGGTAGAAGTTGCAGTGAGCCGAGATTGTACCATTGCACTCCAGCTTGGGAAACGAGAGAAATTGTGTATCCAAAAAAAAAAAAAAAAAAAGTTTGAGGTTGTATTCTCTTTAAGTAAGTTGGTGATACAGCATCCCAGTTTATTGAAATGCTACCTTACCTTAGTTCCTGAAGACAGCTCCTATTAACAGTGATAAATCAGATAAAGGGTGGCCTGATTATAGGATGCCGTAGTCATTAATCTAACTAGGAATGCCTGTATGTTATGAAATCTGTATGATGTGATTTGAAGCTAGGAATGACTTCTAGCTGTAATAACTGGCTGCTAATAACTGCAGTGTGGAGTGGCTCTTCAATAGCAGGTGCATCCAGAGATCCTTATGTTTTTATTCATTGATTAGGAACACTGCTTGGTTATCTTGAGTTGCCAGTTTAATAGTTTTAGTGTTTGTTCCACCTAAATCATTCCAGCCTTTTTGAAAAGTTGTGTATTTCCCTTTTCAGCTCTCATTTCACTCTTCAGTGTTCCTGTTATTTATGAACGGCATCAGGTAATTTCCTAACTGCTGAGTGTAGAATAGAGGACTTTATTACATGGGATTTACAAATATATTAGTGCCAATTTTCATCGCCTTATAAAAATGAGAAATGTGATGGTTTCTCAAGCCTTTAGCTTGAGACATATAGTAGTGGTTAATAAGATTCATTAGCAATGGTAATAATTCCTTTATACCTCTCTTTCAGGCACAGATAGATCATTATCTAGGACTTGCAAATAAGAATGTTAAAGATGCTATGGCTAAGTAAGTATTTAAAATCTGCAGTGTGTTTACTAGGATAAGGTGTGCTGGAGTTTGAGAACAGTTGAGTATTTTCATATTACAGGCAAAATGAGTAACAAATCTCTATCAGACCTTAAGTGTGACCTTAGAGTTGCCAAAAGATTGTTTTTCTAACATTTGGACCATTTGTTTCTGGGTTTATTATGTGTTTAAGGCTTTGTTTAAATCTAATTCATGAGGCCAAAGTGACCAAATTATAGCTTATAATTAGGCATCTTGAAGGATTTCATTTCTTGTATTACCTGAATAACACACAAGTGGTTCTTGGAAGATGGTATTTTAAAGAAGGAGAAAACAAAACTGATATTTATACTGACTTTCATTTTCAGAATCCAAGCGAAAATCCCTGGATTGAAGCGCAAAGCTGAATGAAAAAGCCCAAAATAATTACTAGGAGTTCGTCTTCAAAGGGTATATTCATTTGATGATATGGGGGAGGGTCAGGGAAGAAGGAAACCTTGGCATTGCAGTGCAGCTTCCCATATCTTTATTTTCAGCCATGCACTGTTTTGAGGAAATATTACCTGTCTTGACTGCCATGTGTTCATCATCTTAAGTATCATAAGCTGCTATGTATGGATTTAAACCGTAATCATATCTGTTTTTCCTATCTGAGGCACTGGTTGAATAAAAAACAATTTGAGAAAGCTGTATATTTTACTTTGTTGCAGGTAGTCTTTGCTGCATCTTGGCAAGTTGCAGAGATGGTGGAGCTAGAAAAAAAAAGCCCTTTTCAGTTTGTGCACTGTGTATGGTCCGTGTAGATTGCTGCAGATTTTCTGAAATGACATGTTTAGATGAGATCATACCAGTAAAGCAGGAATAAAAAAGCTTGCTTTTCTGGTATGTTCTAGGTGTATTGTGAATTTTACTGTTATATTAATTGCCAATATAAGTAAATATAGAATATATATATATAGTTTCACAAAGCTTAGACCTTTACCTTCCAGCCACCCCACAGTGCTTGATATTTCAGAGTCATTGGTTATACATGTGTAGTTCCAAAGCACATAAGCTAGAAACAGAAAATATATTTCTGGGAGCACTACCATCTGTTTTCAACATGAGATGCCACACCCATAGAACTCCAACATAAATTTCATTGCACAGACTTACTGTAGTTAATTTTGTCACAAACTCTGCATCTATGGACTGAATCTAATGCTTCCAAAAATGTTGTTTGCAACTATCAAACATTGTTATGCAAGAAATTACAAAATAAAGATTTATACCATTGTGGTTTAAGCTGTACTGAACTAAATCTGTGGAATGCATTGTGAACTGTAAAAGCAAAGTATCAATAAAGCTTATAGACTTAAAATGTGTTTTGGCATTTTCATTTCATGAAGCTGCAGCAGATTAAAATAAAAATACAGTGGGTAGACTTTGCTTCACCCAGTACATGGTAGCTTGTGCTTTTAGAAAGTTTTCTTTAGCTCGTGGTGCAGCTGCTTACTTTGCAAACAAAAGTCAACTAATATGTTTATGTAATCAAATTTATTTGACACATAAAATGTTTTTAAGTGATGATGTGTTTTATACTTTGAAAATAAATTCATGCACCAATATTTTAACACATATCATACAGTGCAGGATTTATGAACCTACATAAAATCATACCATATAAACATTTACAAATAAGTTCATGACACACGGACACTATTGCTCTTTAAATACGGATGTACATGTTGTTAATCAATTCATTGTTCTTCCACATGGTTATTTCAATGCAAGATCCGATCAGTATGAAGAGTCTAGTACAGTATAGGCAGACATGGTTATCACTCAGCATTACCAGTCACATGGTTACAGAAAACAGAATTGGGACTGCATAGGGACTCTACTGTTGGCCCAACAATCTATTAGTGGATTGATGTAAGGCATTAGTAAATTGGCATATAAAAATAGCTTAATGAGTGATCTAATCCATTTAGAATGCTGAAGCACTTCTGTGGTAAATGTTAGTCAAAAATGCTTCATTTTACCTTTTCTCTAAACTGACAAATACAAGTAGCCAGTAACAATAGATCTAGAATTTTAGTTCACTGACTGGAAGGACGAATAGGCATCCATGTGGTCAGACCTACCGGTCCCTCACCAACTCCTTTCAGTGAGCACTGTCAGCCAACTACTGTAGTCACTGGTCAGCTACATGGAAAGTATGACAGAGGGGGCTTTTGGATGGCTCCTGGTAAAGATTGTCCAAGTCATATTCTACCATACAACCAACTCCGAGGAATTCTAACTCACTTTATAGTTTCGATTTACCAGCTATTCCTTGGATTTACAATTTGTTTACGGAGAATTTTTTTATAATCTGGACTTGACCTGTCTAGTTCGCCTGAAGCAATCAGTGGAGTCACCTCTACTCCACTCAGTGTGGTACACCAAGGTGCAGCCTTGGGTTATCTTATTTAGCTTAAGATTTAACAAGATAAGTCAGCTCATTCTCCTGGATCTACCTGAGCCTTTTTCCCCTTCCATTTTATAGAAGTTTGTTTAATTTGAATTCTATTTTGGATTTTGTGGGTTTGGCACGAAACACAATGAAAACCCATTCTACCCCGCCCCAAACTTCAATTCCTTTGCTGCTCACCTTCCTATAAGCAGGTGACTGATGTCTTTCATTTAGGAAGCCTTGGCATGAACACAGGACAAAGGTGACACACTGAATCTGCTAAGGATCCTGCAGCCCTCTTCAGCTTTGAAGTTTTAGCACCATATGGAGAAAGGAGAAATTGGTGGGAAGTGAGACAGCAGCCCACGCAACTGGAAACTCTCAAAGGCACTTAATGGATATAAAACTCTGCAAATGAAACATTAAAAAATTAAGTTTCTTAACTTCTCTATACATGGCTCATTTGGTTTTGAAAGCTAAATTGGAGAACAGAGGCTAGCGATATTTCTAGTACTTCGGTGCATCTAACTTAGGCTGTCTTGTTCAACTGATTTGTAAAAATGAACATTCTTGAAGTATATAGAAACAATAGCAAAACATTTTTGTAAAAGTTTTGATGCAAATTAAAAGCTACATATTGGTTAGGGTAACTGAGGCTTCAAAATTTGTCAGCGGGCTACATTATCAGATAGGATTTGTCAAAGTAGTTAGTATGTATAGTGATTAGTCTCAGGAACAGAGGCAAGCAGTCTTAACATTCTACAACTTGACCTTCCTTCATGGCATCGCAGTTGTGGAGAGTCCGAATTATGGGTGCAGTCTTGGAACTTCCATAGTGTTTTGGGCTTGTGTGTCCAGGGCAGCATGGTAGGCATTTCCCAACGGCTGGTGGCAAGGAGGCACTCAGCACGGACTCTGCAGTTGCTGGCGGGTAGCAGCAGCAGCAGCAGCAGTAACGTAAGAGGCTTCTGGCATTTACAGACACCGCCACACAAATACACTGTAAAGGCAGACCAAACAGTCATTTTGCATAGCTGGACGTCATACCTGTGTCAAGCGGCAAAATAAATCTTGCCACGCACCGAAAAGTCAAGTTCAGGTGATGTATTGAACATTTTGACTTCAAAAGGTAAACCAGAGGTCTTGCCACCAAGTTAAGCTCTATTGCTTTTTTTTTTAAAAGGTATATTTTTTCAGTTGAGTTCTGTTTGGTTCTTTCAGCAGTTTGAATGCCTGTGCCAAATGTTGGTCAGTGAGGATGTGTGGCACTTTGATATAACACTCTCTCCTGTTACTATTGAAAAGGTTTATCAACTCCACTTGAGTCAGAGAGCCTTTTGAGTATTTAGCACAGAGCCAGGGGTGACAGCAGGCTCCATGCCTACAAAGGCCTGTGAGCCCTGCACTGTTAAGGTAGCATTGTTAAGTCGTTTACGTTAAAACAAGTCTGTATCCCCTGCACTCGAGTGACCAATTCATTTATGTCTCTTACTCCTAGCTTGTTCAGTTTGGTTGGTGCTGCATTGGATGGGTTTTGTTCTCCACTGGGAGCTGCTGTCAGTACTATCTCAAGGGTTCTAAGTGCCAGAAGTGGCCAGCACAGCAGGCTGGCGCTGGGTGCTCCCAGGCAGGCCATCAGAAATACGCAATGCCTTTGGGTGGGAAGTGGGTTCAAATTCTTTATAGGTGCCTTTCTTACAGCCTAACTCAGACCACTAGGAAGTATCACAGAATGCATGTATTTCTTCTTTTTCCCCTCAAGAACTTTGCTTGGGTGGAATAGAACCCAACATTCATGCTACAATGAAGAGCATCAGAAATGGAGAAGCAGAGTAAGTTAGAATGACCTAGTCCTGTTCCTCTATACTCTAAATAAAAAAATTCCCAACACTAGGGATTAACTGGGAATTCTTAAAAGGACACATGGATGAATTTTCATTCTGACCTCCTGCAACGCACAACAACCCATGGGCTGCCAAGAGCTCCTACTCAAATCAGCCATCTCGGGTCTCATCCACCTGTCCCTTTCCCCCAGCAGTGCCCCAGTAGCTATCACATGCCCATGCCATCCCAGGACAGCTGCAGTTGGCACACAGGGCCACTGGGTTGACAGTCACCAAAGGGTAAATGCCTTATACTTGGGAAGTCCTTGCCTTCATGAGGACTCATGGAATTTTCTGTTTATTAGCCCCACATCAGCCCACCCCATGACCCTGGGAGAGGCTGACCCACGGGACACCTGAGATGGGGAGGGAGAGCTGGCCCAGCCTGGGGAGTCAGAACCGGGTCAGGTTAGTACCTGCAGTCGTCTCCTCCAGTGCTGACCACATACTTGTCATCGTAAGAGAAACGGATGTTCGTCACGTGAGCCGAGTGACCAAAGTATCGCTTATGTTTGGCCTGTGAGCAAAAGTGAATGGAGACAGCTAAGAGACCCTGGCGCCCCTCAGCAACCACAGACTACTTCAGCACTCAAATCCCTGCTCCCAGAACCTTCCTTCACTGGGGACTCTTATTTGGTCTGGACTCCTGTATTAGGCAGCCTTTGCCTGACTTTCCTGCCTCTTATCCCTGCCCCACTTCTGGCCATTTTATCCACCCTCCATTCTCCCTTCTAGCTTCCAGGACTGCCCCTCCGACAGATGAAAAAGTCATTGCCATATTTCCATAGTACTGGGACAGGGTTCCTCTGTGTCTCCCAGAGGACTATCTAGATGTGGCCCCCATCTCAAGCAGATGGCAGAACAGAGAACTGGCAAGGAGGTTACTCTGAGGAAGACTCACAAATTTTTCTGTGCATGGAAAATCAAAGAGCTTCACAAGCCCAAAGTCATCTCCTGTGACAATGTTCAGGCCAGCGTGGGTCACACATGCACAGTTGACATCAGCCTTGTCTGCATTTCGTGGCCAGATTCCAATGACTTCATCTCCCAGGACGCTGTTTCAACAGAAAAGGGGGTTAGGATAGAAGGAAGTCATGTGAGGTTTCTTGCAGTCAGTCACCACCTCCCAGGGATAAGGAAGAGAGGGATATTTAACACTGGTGGGGCTGTGGCCCGGTGGGAGTCCTTGGTCTGTTGGGAACCGGCCGAACAGCACGAGGCGAGTGGTAGGGGAGCATTAGCACCTGAGCTCCGCCTCCTGCCAGATCTGCTGTGGCATTAGATTCTCATAGGAGTGCGAACCCTGTTGTGAACTGCGCATGCGAGGGATCTAGGTTGCATGCTCCTTAGGTGGAACAGTTTCATCCCGAAACCCTACCCCTACCTGGTCTCTGAAAAAATTGTATTCCATGAAACTGGTCCCTGGTGGTTTTATGTAATTCGGTACAGCCACGTGGCTCTCCTGGCATGAAAGCATCTGTCCCCTTCCCATTGCCAACCTCTTGTTTAGGGAAAAGAGTTTGAGCTTCTGCCTCTGCTAGTAGGGGGTTGCCTCAGTCCCCTGCACTCCAAAACCAAAAGTTACCCCCATCTTTGATTCTCTCCGTGCCAAGATGGAGATGGCTTCCTCTTGAACTTTCTGGAAGGGGTTCATGTAGGAGAAATTACACAAAGAGAGGGACTTCGCATTTCAGAAGCCAAGGTCAGATCAAAGCCAGCGACCTAACTAGTGCCAAGAAGCCTCCCACCATCACCCCCAAAGAAGACAGCTCCATTTCTCAGCCTCTTCAGATCCTGCACAAATGCGGAGTCTGAGCCTGAGACAAGACACTCCCTTATGACCTTTTCCTCAAGAAGTTTTTTCTTCCACTCAGTCACCTTGTCCAGGAGGCCCAGGTGATCTTCTCAATGACCATGGCTTCCGTTACCTGCTTCCCCAAGGGGACCTCATGCACCTGGCGCTTATAGGCTCCTGTTGACACCTAGAAGTAGAATGGAAGCCATGTTCATCAACGTTCCTTCTCAGTTCCCCAGACTCCCTTTGAGTGTGCTGTTTCCCAGAACACTGGCCCAGCCTCTGCATCGCTAGGACTTTTCTCCACACCCAAGCTCAGCTCCAGGCTGCAAAGCCTATGGCCAGCCCATGGCAACACCAGCGGGGCATTTTCCCATCTTTCTTCTCATTCATTTTCTCGCTCTTTTCCAGAGTCCCAAGGCAGGGGTTCTCTGAGTGGTTCCCCAGCAGCATCATCAGCCACGTAGAAACCTGTTAGAAATGCAAACTCTTGGGCCCCATCCAAAACCTACCCAGACATACACTGAGAGGGTGGCCCCTAGCCATCCCGGCTTTAACAAAGCTACCAGGTGTTTCCGATACACAGGGATCTCAGTTCTCAGCAAACCAAGAGGCACAGAGGTAAGACAGGTTTCTCATGGACAGCAGCTGACATAGGTGATTCTGGGGTATCTAGAACTTGACCCTTGGTGCTCTGGGAGTCTTCTAAGGCAAAGAGACCACTTTTCCTACCATCAAGGACATTTGCCAGTGAACGGCTGCTGCCTTCCTCTTCAGCCTCCTCTCTCCCTGCAGTGCCCTCTATCTCAGCCCCCGCCTCCCCTTTCCTTCTGGAATGAGCTGGGAAGCTGAGCTCTTTCCTGCCTCAGGGCTTGCATGCAGATGGTCTGGAACAACGTTCCCACCTCTCTGTTGGCTAACACCTACACACCCTGCAGACCTCAGCTTACATACCACTCACTGGAGAGGAAGTGCATCTAAATTCAGCACCTTGCTACATGCTCCCTAGAATGCTGTACTTTTCCTTCTTGGCACATAATCACAATTTGTAATTATATTTCTATTTTGTGACTGTTTAGTGCTTGTCTTCTCTGTTATAGAGCAAGCCGTAGGAAACAAGGACTGAAACTGCCTTTGCAAAATTATGACTGAGATCTAACTTAGCTGACTTCATATTGCTTCTAACCTCCAAGGTGTCTTTGTTCATTCCTGGATGTCGGCTAAACTAACTTTGGGAGAAAGTTTAAAGATGATAACAGTCCTTTCCCAAAGCAGACCTCTTTCTTGCCTGGGGATGAGATTGCCTCTGTAGGACTAACATTAGCCACAAGATTATAACTTATGGTTTAGGAGTCATGCAGGTGGAGGCTACAAGATTCTGACCCTCCCTAAACTGGTCCTGAGATCAGTGCTTGAGATAGTTTGCAGACTCAGAACTTGATGGATCAGCTGGCACCTCCCAGATCAATAAACTGGCTCTCTCATCTTGTGGCCCCCACCCAGGAACTGAGTGAATGCAAGAAGACAGCTCCAACTCACTATGATTTCATCTCTGACCAATTGCACTCCTGGCTCACTGGCTTCACCCCACCTACCAAGTTATCCTTAAAAACTGTGCTCCCGGAATGCACAGGGAGACTGATTTGAGTAATAATAAAACTCCAGTCTCTCATGCAGCTGGCTCTATGTGAATTACTCTTTCTCTATTGCAATTCCCCTGTCTTGATGAATTGGCTCTGTCTAGGCAGCAGGCAAGGTGAATCCTTTGGGTGGACCAGTCCAAGACAGGACCACTCTCATTTTGTCCATTTAAAAGTCTAGCATAGTACCTGGTTCAGCAAATAGTTGAATGAATAAATACATCCTCTCTCCTTTCACAGTGAATAGCCAGCTCCATCCAGGCCAGCTCACAAATGCAGATTTGTTGAGTGTGGGTGAGATCATCCTGTTTTTAGGGGTCAGTCCCAGCAGTGGATCCGTCTACATCTCTTCCACTGGTCAGTTCCCCTAGGACCCAGGGATGAGCTTTTACTCCAGGCCCACTGGCTGGAGTCCAGGGCCCAAGTACAGAGGAACCATTCTACCCAGTAGAGTTTGGAAATGACATGAATAAATGCCAGAAGCTGCACAAGGCTTAGGTGTAGCCCCCAAAAACTAGAAATCAGGAAACTTTGAGGAGGTGGTGGTGAGTAGCAGATTAAAGATGATTAGGGCTTGTATTTCCTGCTTTTCTTACTCTTTACTATTTTAAATTCTATTTCCTCAATGTTCTTAAATTCTCTAAGCCTCTGTTTCTACATTTATAAAATATGGAAAAAGTAACTACTTAAGAGTTCCAGTGAAGATCGAGTTAGCACACTGCCTGGCACACAGTAAGGACTCAATTAATACAGGCCATTGTTGTTATTACTATTATTATCAGTTGCCCCAGATAATAAGCAAACCCCAGGCATACCTGAATGTATTTGCCATCCGCAGAAAAATCCATCTGAATGACAAAGCTTGGGATATCTTTGCAGTAGCCAATGCGGTTCAGATTTGTGCCCTGAGTGAGGTCATAGAAGTCAACTGTGTGTTCAGAAGAACCAACAGCTAAGAATCGGTTGTCTGGGCTGATTCTAGAAAAAGCAATCCAAGAGCAGGATCCATGAGGAGGGCTGTTTGAGGCTGGTCAGGCATGAAGGCTGCTCCGGGACAGGCCTTCCAGGCCCAAAGATAGAGCTGCCTTGTGACTCACATGTGGTTGGCCTTTCTTGGCATTCTATGGAATTCAACAATTTATCTGGATCAAATCGCTGGGAAATAAGTAGAATAACATCTACAAGTAGTTTTAACCACATTTTTTTTTTTTTTTTTTTTTTTGAGACAGAGTCTCACTCTGTCATCAGGCTGGAGTGCCGTGGTGCAATCTTGGCCCACTGCAACCTCTGCCTCCCGGGTTGAACGAATTCCCCTCCCTTAGCCTGCCAAGTAGCTGGGACTACAGGCGTGTGCTACCACGGCCAGCTAGTTTTTTGTATTTTAGTAGAGACAAGGTTTCACCATGTTGGCCAGGATGGTCTCGATCTGACCTTGTGATCCACCTACCTTGGCCTCCCACAGTGCTGGGATTACAGGTATGAGCCACCGCACACAGCCAACCACGCTTTTATGGAAATTAGCAAAGACTTGTCTGAGGGTGAACATGGGAGAAGGTATTCTTTCAGAGGTGGCTTGGAGAAAGTGACCATCTCACAATTGGGTTAATTCATTCCAGCTGTAGCTGGAATGGGAACCACTGGGAAGCAGAACGCTTGCCTTCCTCCTCCACGCCCAGACCACCCACTTAGGTACCTGATATCTTGGATAGCAGATTTCCGGTCTCGTTTTTTCCCCCAAACTTTCAGGCTGTTCACCAACAAGATGACAAACTCTCCATTCTTCATGCCAATGGCCACCATCTCCCCATCAGGGCTGTAGGCTGCACACCTGGCCGCGTGGCCCAGGCTCACCTTGTTTAACAGCTTCTACATTCATGCAAAGGAAAGTGACCTGAATCCTTGGCCCTCTCAGCTGGTCTCCAGGAGACATCCTACACCAGGCCAGAAAAGTCAGGCTGCCCTCACAGCCACTGTAGCCCACCAAATCTCTTCTAAGAGTAAATGTCCCTGAATAACTGAGGCGGGCTATATGTTTTGATTAGAGCAGACTTGTGGGACAACAAGTTTTAGGGCAGAGGCTGGCAAACTTTTTCTGCAAATGATTAGGGAGCACCTCCTTTCGACTCTATGGGCCATCAAGTCTCTGTCGCAACCACTCACCTTTGCCACTGCAGCACACGACAGCCACAGACAGTACCTACACAAACAAGAGCAGCTGCTGGACTTGTAGAAGAAGGCCACAGGCCAGATTTGGCCTTTAACTGTAGATTGCCAACCTCTTGTTCAGGGGAAAGAGCTTCAGCTTCCACCTCTGCTAGTTCAAATTCTGAATCCTGGCCCTGTCAGTTATTAGCCAGGTGTGTTTGGGTAAATTACATCTCAGTTTTTCTATGTTTACTAACAGCGATGTTAATAAGGGTTTTGCAAGGTTATCGTAGGCACTAATCGTGTCCATGAAGCAGCTGGTATTATGTAGGTATTCACATAGTGACAGCTGTTGCTAGTAATGTTTAATAAATAATTACAAAAACTACCTTAGGAGCCTAACAACCACACTCCTGCTTTTACCTGTCTATTCCGTGACTCTTATACTAAAAATACATCAAACAGTTACTGGCCCTTTCAAAATGAAACCAAGTATTTTAATTAGTGGAACTTAAGTACTTGTTTGAACTCTGGATGAGGCAAGAGGACTGGGAACAACTCTTTGATCCCCCCACTAACCTCGCCCCCCACTGCCCCCCGCCCCCTCGCCAATTCCTTGCTGTTTCACGGTTTTACTCCCAATGAACTTTAACATTGCCTTCCCAAACTCTTAAGAGAAACCTTGTTGGGATTGTGATTGAAATACATTAGGCCCATTGGGGAATATTTGACATTTAAAATCATTTTTAGTCTTCTCATTCAGGGGAAACATGATTTGTCTCTATATTTTTAGTTTTGTGGGTTCATGACAAGACAATAATCCTCAATTATATTATTTAGATGGGCTGTGGTGAGTGGGGCTTCTTTTATTGTTAGGTTTTCTAACTTGACCTTCTATCTGGCCCCATCCTCCTCTCTGCCATGACGCTGGCTGGGCCTCTCCTCGCTCAGCTCCCACCGCTATGCAGCCCACTCGTGGGCATCTGAGTTCGGGCAGAGTCGGCCTCACCTTGTCAGCCAGGTCCCAGATCCGGGCTGTGCCATCGTTGCTGGCAGAGATGAAGAGGTCTTTGGAAGGGTGAGTGGCCAGGCCCCAGATCTCCCCTTCCATGTGACCATCAATCAGGATGTTAGAAGCAGCATTTTTTTCACCAACTTCAATTATTTCTCCATCTTTGGTTCCCACTAAGATTTTTCCCTGTTGTAATTGAAACACTATTAGAAAAAGGACAAATACTGTATGACTACACTCACATGCGGTATCTAGAGTGGTCAAATTCATGGAGACAGAAAGGAGAATGATGACTGCTGGTGGACGGGGGTGGGGCACGGGGGAGTTAGTGCTTAATGGTACAGTTCCAGTTTTCAAGATAAGAAAAGTTCCGTGGGTGGATGTGGTGATGGTTGCACAGCAATGTGAATGTGCTTAACGCCACTGAATTGTACACTTAAAAATGGTTAAAATGGTCACTTTTATGTTATTTTGGCACAATTTAAAAATTTTTAAAACACTACTATGATTAGAAAAACTTGGGGATTGCAGCCAGGTGCAGTGGCTCACGCCTGTAATCCTGGCACTTTGGGATGCTGAGTCAGTTGGATCACTTGTGATTGGGAGTTCGAGACCAATCTAACCAACATGTAGAAACCATGTCTCTACTAAAAATACAAAATAAGCTGGGCATGGTGGCACATGCCTGTAATCCCAGCTACTTGGGAGGCTGAGGCAGGTGAATCGCTTGAACCCGGGAGGCAGAGGTTGTGGTGAGCTGAGATTGGTACTCTTGCACTCCAGCCTGGGCAACAAGAGAAGCTCCGTATCAAAAAAAAAAAAAAAAAAAAGAAAAAGAAAAAGAAAAACTTGGGGATTGAGACCACGAATTTAAGGCTGCAGTAAGCTATTATGGCTCCACTGCTCTCCAGCATGGGTGACACAGTGAGACCCTGTCTTAAAAAAAAAAAAACTTGGGAAAGTGCCTTTGTAGTGTTAACATTAAAATAGGAAGGGCCAAGAGGTGTTTTGTTATTGCTTTTTGAGACAGTCTCACTCTCTCACCCAGGCTGCAGTACAAGGGGTGTAATCTCAGCTCATCGCAACCTCTGCTTCCCAGGTTCAAGCAATTCTCCTGACTCAGCCACCCAGGTAGTTGGGACTATAGGTACATGCCACCACACCTGGCTAAGTTTTGTATTTTTAGTAAAGATGGGCTTTTACTATATTGACCAGGCTGGTCTCAAACTCCTGACCTCAAGTGATCTGCCTGCCTTGGCCTCCCAGAGTGCTGGGATTACAGGTGTGAGCCATCATGTCTGGCTAGTGTTTTGTTTTTAACAACAAACTGTCCATTCTTAATTACTCTACTCCACCCTCTCACTTCGCCTTCTCTCAATCAGCTACCTCAGGTAAGAGCTTCAGCACAGATTCCTTCATCACCCAGCATCTGCCAGAAGATTCCAGTAACTATAGAGCAAGGCAGCCAATTAGTGTTCTTAGACAGCTCAAAATCCTAATAAGTTCTTCCTTCCACTGAACAAAAATCTGCTTCCTGGCCAGGCACGGTAGTTCACGCCTGTAATCCCAGAACTTTGGGAGGCCGAGGCAGATGGATCGCCTGAAGTCAGGAGTTTGAGACCAGCCTGGCCAACATGGCGAAACCCCATCTCTACTAAAAATACAAAAAATTAGCTGGGTATGGTGGTGGGCACCTGTAATCCCAGCTACTTGGGAGGCTGAGGCAGGAGATTCGCTTGAACCCAGGGGACGCAGGATGCAGGGAACTGAGATCACACCATTGTATCCAGCCTGGGTAACAGAGCAAGACTCAGTATCCAAAAAAAAAAAAAAAAAACTACTTTCTGATAACTTGCAGGCATAGTCCTGCCTTCATCTCCCAGAACTGCCCTTCCCAGTGGGCATCACTTAGCTATTTAAGAACAAAATCCCCAGTTTCGAATCATGTAGACCCCACATCCGGTTTGCCTTTTTCATGGAAAGCATCTAAGAAAGCAAACTCTTAACCTGATATTCAGAAATATAAACACAAGGTATTCGATAGAGGTTTGGAGATTGGCTTTTAAGTGCATCAAATCCCCTGGAGGAATTTAAAAAGAAGAAAATGGAAGGAAATAGAAGGAAACATCCAGGTCAAGGTCCCTCCCCTGAGATTCTGATTTACCAGCTCCAGGTGGGTGCCTAGACATCCATATTCTTTAAAATTCCACAGCTGCTTTTTATACACTGTCCAAATATGAGTTAGAAACCAGTGGCTTTGAGTCAGGCAGTTTGGTGGCCCTTACCTTCCTCCTCGATGGTTCTGGAACTTAGGGCATGGGCAAATTACTTAGTGTCTCTGAGTTTATGAGAATATAATCTGTATTACATCTCCTGAATGGGACTCTATACCAGGCAAGATGAAAGGCACTGTCATGTAGAACAATGTGACTCTCACAACAGCCTCATGACAAACCCATGTGCTGGACACTGAAATGTGAAGGAACACACCCAAGGTCACCCAGCTGCTTCTTCCTGGGAGAGTCGGACTCTCTTAAGCTGCTTCTCACTGTAGCACAATTCACATCTTGAAGGCGTGTTTCAAAGATTCAACAAACCAGCCCAGGGAAAGTGTCTAGCTTGGAAAGTACCTACACTTCCCCCTTCCGTGGCCCAGCCCCAAGGGAAGTCGGCTGTACTCACTTTTCCACGGCACACGGAGCGCACACACTCTACCAGCTGTCCCGTCTCCAGCTGAAAGGCCCGGCAGCGCTTCATCTCCTGGTCCCACAATTTTACAGCACCTCCTTCTTTGGTCCTAAAAAAGGTTGAAAGGCACTCAGGCTGTTAACCCTCATCCTAAGACCCACTTCCCACCCCGTCAACTCTCTCCCCTCTTTCTCAGTCATCAAGGTTCTGGCCGCCAGGGGCCCAGCAGGACAGACCCTCAGGGGTCCAGACCCTCCTGGGGTCTCCCTGTTAGACCCTGCTGCTGAACTACCCCAAACCCCTGAACTTACAGATTTCCTACAATGCCTTCAAATGCTACCATCTTGGGACGAAAGAGAAAGTAATTTGGAAATCCAGACTTTTTATTAGATTAGAACACTAAGAAATGTTCCTCCTGCCTTCAGGCTTTGCTTCTACAACTCTCCTCTTCTCCTCCTCCCTCCATTCCTCCAAAGAGTTACTGACATTTTATGAACAGCACAGTCACTGTGGTTTGCTCAATAATACCTCTCTTTGGTCCTAAAAAAGACTGAAGGCACTCAGGCTGTTAACCCCCATCCTAACACCCATTTCCCACCCCTCAACCATCTCCACTCTTTCCCAGTCATCAAGGTCCTGGCCACCAGGACCAAAGGTTTTTTTTTTTTTTAATATTAATTAATTATTTGTTCATTTTGAGATGGAGCTTTGCTCTTGTCACCCAGGATGGAGTGCAATGGCATAATCGCAGCTCACTGCAACCTCTGCCTCCCAGGTTCAAGCCAGTCTCCTGCCTCAGCCTCCCAAGTAGCTGGGATAACAGGCACCCGCCACCACGCCCAGCTAAATTTTGTATTTTCAGTAGAGACAGGGTTTCACCATGTTGGCCAGGCTGGTTTCAAACTCTGGACCTCAGGTGATCTGCCCCCTCAGCCTCCCAAAGCGCTGGGATTACAGGAGTGAGCACCTCTCAGGTTTTTAAACTAACACCAAACCAGCTCTGTACTCCTCTCTTTCTTGTGAGGATCTTGCCCTAGGCCCTCTTGGAGAGATAGCAGACTGATCTTCCTAATACAAAAATCGAGGATGACAATCTGCATTTTCTCCAAGTTGGGGATGCTTTTGTCAGTTTCTCCCAAAAGACAAGTTGTTCCTATAGAAACTGTGGCTTACGGCCGCTCTTTTCCGCCGGTCACTATGAGTCCATCCCGAAGGGTCGTGTACATTGTGAACACGGGGCCTGTGTGAGCCTTGGCCACCAGCCGAATGAGGAAGTGGTCCTTCCAGACGTAGACGTCTCCATTGATGGCACCCGTGAAAGTGAGGTTGTTCTGAAAACAAAGGAACGTCTTCCACAACAGGAACACAGTCAAGTGGGCCCCTCCCCAGCCACGGGTTCTCTCATTAAGGAACCAGAGCTAGAGAAGCAGACGTGCCTAAGCAGTTTGATCTTCTGTGCTAAGGAAAGCAGCAGAATTTGCAGAAAAACTGCTGAGAACACTGCATAAGGCAATCATCTGGCTTGGAAATTCACTCTAATTGGTTTGGGCATTTGATTCCCCTCTGAGCACAGCTCCGCATTAACAAGGACTTCCCTTCTGTGAACACGGACCAGGTGACAGCAGGGTCAGGGGCAGACCCCAGGCCACAGGACACTTTCCTGGGGCTCCTCTACAAGGGGGAGAAATCCACTCCTGGAGGACCACGAGGTGACTACGTTCCAACAGGTCATCATTTTGGAGCTTGCATTGGCTGAGGGCACCCCATAGCCCACTGAAGTCTGGCAGTTGGGGGGATCTGTGGCACAGGAGGGCTGGGAAGAAAAAGGATCATCATCTAGCAGTGGAAATCATTCCTAATATCCTCTGGGGCTTGCAGGTCAGGGTTGCCTCTAGAACAACAAACCTTCTGTCCTTGGTGGGTGTCCTACCTTTTCTGGTTAATATTTTAAGGAAAAAAAATATTGGCTGGGCTCAGTGGCTCATGTCTGTAATCCCAGCACTTTGGGAAGCCAAGGCAGGTGGATCACCTGAGGTCAGGAGTTCAAGAACAGCCTGGTCAACATGGGAAACCCTGTCTCTACTAAAAATATGAAAATTAGCTGGGTGTGGTGGCAGGTGCCTGTAATCCCACCTACTCAGGAGGCTGAGGCAGGAGAATCACTTGAACCCAGGAGGTGGAGATTTCAGAGAGCCAAAATCGCACCACTGCACTCCAGCCTGGGTGATAGAGCAAGACTCCGTACACACACACACACACCCACCCAGTGGTTGCAAATAAGCCAGTACAGGAGATAATGTGGAAATGGCTTTCCTGCTGTTTTCAGCCTCTTGGCCAAACTCCCCTCCTGCCCATGCCCATGCCCATGCCCCTTTCTCAGCAATCATCTGCTAGAACTCACAGCACCGAAGGCCACGGAGAGCATTGTCTGCATTTTGGCAGCTCCCAGGGACCCGATGACTCCTTTCTTGTAAAGCAAGGCGCTGCCTGCCAGGGTCCAGAACTTCATATGTTTAACTCCGACAGATACAAACTGCGTGTCTGAGTCGGGGCGAAATTCCACCACAAATATGCGCTCCAGGTGACCCCCTCGGCTGGCAACCTTGGCACCTGTGAGGGTGACAGAGTTCGGTGAGGCTCCTCATTGCTTCCTGGGCCAGGCTGGGGGAGCCGCAGCCTAGGAGTTCTCTCCACCCCAGCAGGCGCAGGGCTCGCCTCAGGACAACAGAGTCCCCCACAGGACAACAGAGCCTCTCCCAGAGCCCCACGGGACTCACATTCCTTTAGACACCTTCTTTTTAAGATTCTGCATTCATTTTCTCTTAAGTTCTCCATTTTCCTTTTTGTTTTGTGGTATTTAGGTTTTTTTTTTTTTTTTTTTCTACCTTTTACGTTCAAGTACTAGTTTTTTCCTCAACCCCATTTAAATATGTCTTTGAGTGTCTCTTGAGTTTTATTTAACCTTTGTCTTAATAAAATTCCAACCCTACCATGTACTTGTAGAACAACTTTGGACAAGTTACTGAAACTCTCTGTGCTTTGGTTTCCTCACCTGTCAGATGGGGCTAATAATCGTTCCTATTTCAGAAGCTGCGTTGTAGATGCAAAGAATGGACATAAGTGAAGCCCTCAGCACAGTGCGCGATACTGTGAGTAATCCTAAGTGTTAGACAGAGTTGTTAGTAGCAGTAACGGTATTATCATCATCACTCTTTTAGCTCCTTTTAAAATTTCTTGGCTTCCATTCTTTTAGCCTGTATTTTAAACCCACCTCTTTTTTAATCTCATTATTTTTAAGCTGTCGAGTTTAAAATTTTTGTTTTAAAACTGTTACCTTTTAACTTACTCTGAATGATTTTGTTCCAATTTCCTCTCAATTGTCATCCCTCCCTTTATTATTTACACACATATTTTTTTCTTCCCGTCATTCTCATTACTTCACATTTGCTTTTATGACAGGTTTCTAGGACCATGATGGTGGTGGGTTTTGATGTAGGTGGGCCTGCAGCCACCCCTCTGATACTCCCTAAGAGAATCTCTTTCCATGCGAGGCTGGGGAGACCCACAGGTGCTTCTCCCAGCTGCAGTTCTCTCTGCATATGAATTCCTGACTTGCTGTAACAGATCTCTCACTACTTAGGGCTTAGAGGTTTTCAGACCCATGGTTTCCAAGGATACCACAAACAAGTAAGACAACAGACTGGAAGAAAGCATTGGCAATGCTTGTAAGACTCAGAGGATTAACATTAAAAATCTATAAGGAACTCCAAATTGTAACTAAAAGACAGACAACCCTCCCACCCCAATTAGTAAAAGGATTTGAACAGGTGAATTACAAAAATAGCAATACAATGATGAGATGGAAGGAGGGTCCAGCTAACCAGTCACAGCAGAAGTACAAACGAACAATGAGGCGTACATTTTTCAAAGTCACTGTTTGTATTTTCTTTGCTCTAATTTCATGGATGCTTCTAATTGTGGAGACACCTGTATTCCACTTCCATTGGCTTCTAGTCTGCTCACAGCAAATTACATCGACTTATCTAGGATCTGACAATGTATATTTAATAAGTTCATTTTTAATTCTATTTTTACCTACACACACACACACACACACACACACACACACGTGCCCCAAAACGATCCTCTAGTAAGTGAAGAACGAGTAATAGGCTCTCTAGTGATGTATGAAATGTATGTAAACCTCCACAAACACATGCTATTTATCTGTAAGCAAGACTTGAAATGAAGAAAAGCCCACACTGGAGAAGGAACGGAGGAGAGATGACACGTCCGTGGTCAACTGGGAAGAGGTGGAGGCTGGTGATACTAAGATATCAGCACTGGCTCACACCCTCTATACAAACAAGAGTAGGCTTCTCTTTTCCCTGGGACCTTGTTTAAAAGCCCTGACTCCTCTAACCCTCTCCTGGGAGGTCAGAAGGGACCCTGGGTGAGGAGGAGTCTGTGCTGGGGCAGGCCAGAGCAACCACTGCTTAGAGGACAGGTGGAGGGACTGAAGACAGTGAGCCTGAACTTAAAAAGGCAAGATCGTGCAGAGGGGCCAGCGTCAGAGCTTTTTCCCAAGGATCCAGGAACAGAGTTAGCAACACAGAAAAAAAAACATAATGAAGCAATTTATGTCCCCACATAAGAAGGGGCTTTAAACGAGAGCTTTCAGATAGGGTATGGACTGTCTTGTGAAGTTATGAGAGCCACATCCTTTAAGGTACTCGAGCAGAGGACAGAAGGGTGCATTTGGAGGAATTTCTACTTAGGATGGGTCCTGACTGAGCAGGAATTCTTGTCTAGTTCTTCCCATGCCAAGATGCTCTATGTCTATCATTTAAGATGCTCAATCTCTCATCTGGGCTAAGTCTGGTCAATCAGTTGGCCACTGACATCACAAGGAATGAATATGCACCCCTGAGATATCAACTCTGCAGCCATATGGGTGAGATATACTGGTGAACAAGAAAATGAGATAATGGGACTGGGCGCAGTGGCTCACGCCTGTAATCCCAGCACTTTGGGAGTTTGGGAGGCCATCGTGGGCAGATCACGAGGTCAGGAGTTTGAGACCAGCCTGGCCAGCACGGTGAAATGCCATCTCTACTAAAAATACAAAAAATTAGCCAGGCATGGTGATGGACACTTGTAATCCCAGCTCCTCGGGAGGCTGCCACAGGAGAATTGCTTGAACCCAGGAGGCAGAGATTGCAGTGAGCCGAGATCACGCCACTGCACTCCAGCCTGGGTAACAGAGTGAGTCTCTTAAAAAAAAAACAAAACATATGTGTGTGTGTGTGTGTGTGTGTGTGTGTGTGTGTATATATATATATAGAAAATTAGAAAATGTGGTTTCCTAGACATATAGATCATGTCACCTTCCAAAGGAATATGGTGAGTATCATCATAAATGTCTGCAGGCTGTCAGCCTCTTTTCCTCATATGGGGGTGGCTCAGGAGAGACTGGAACTTTCCTCCCAATGTGCTGATTTCTTTACAGCCTCTATGCACCACCTCCTCCATGGGAAGCTGAGGAGATACTGGGACTCCAGAGCCCTGGATGGGAGAAGCGCCATCTCTGCGCCTGCCTGGCAGAGTGTGTCCCAGATACAGGCTGCCTGGCTGCAGACAGACCTCATTAATGTCCTAATTGGATCTGCTTTTGCCAGGGCAGTACCCAATCTGAGAATATAAGTGGAAGACTGCACATCTTTAGTCTAAGATGCCCATATATTCACTGTCAGCTTGTGTGTGTGCATGTGCCTAAGGTGTGCGTGCATGTATTGGGGGCGGGGACAAGAAAAAAATCTTGCTACAGTAAACATAAACCTTGATCCTAAGATAAATCCCTATTTCAAAAGTGTTAAAATGTCAAAAAAAATTTAATTGCTTCTGAGACTATGATAAAATATTATTCCATTTCCTAAAGTGATAAGGTGGTAGTTAGATCTAGGAGCCACCAGAAGAGCACTGAAAATAAGGACCCTCGGGTAGGAAGGGGGTTAAGACAGATGTTGGAGAGGCTGCTGCCTTCTGTCTGAGGAGGAGGCTGCTAACATGGGAGCACCTCCCCAGTGCTCTTTCACTAATGTGCCCGGGAGTCCCTGGCCAGCCTCCTTCTGGCCTTGGGACCCTGGGATGCACTGGCACCAGTGGGGCAGCTATACCAGGATCCCCAGCGCCCTGTTTTCCGCTTGCCCAGCAGCCGTCAGTGTCCATGGCGGGCTTTGGAGACAGATTTGGGTTCGAGCCCAGCCCATGCCACAGGCAGACCCCTTGGAGGGATAGAAAGCCCCGTGCTGGTTTACCTTCCTGCCATCGCCAGACGGTGATGGTGTGCTCAGGGTCCACTCCCACCGACACCAGGAGCTTTCCGGTTGCACTGAAGTTGACGTAATTCACCCCCTTGGAGTGGAAGCACCGCAGCATGGAGAGGGTGTGTTTGGTCATGGCGTCCCATATGTGGATGGAAGGTGTTGTTCCTGAGCATGGGGAGGCATGACAAAGAAGTAAGGCTGAAGAATGGCGGAGCCAAGGTGATGCTTATGCTCATGTAAAAGCCTTTTTTCTTTTTGAGATGGAATCTTAGTCTGTCTCCCAGGCTGGAGGGCAGGGGCACCATTTCAGCTCACTGCAACCTCCGCATCCCAGGTTCATGCAATCCTCGTGCCTTAGCCTCCCGAGCAGCTGGGATTACAGGCGCGCACCACCACGCCCAGCTAATTTTTGTATTTTTAGTAGAGACAAGGTTTCACCATGTTGACCAAGCTGGTCTCAAACTCCCAACCTCAGGTGATCTGCCTGCCTCGGCCTCCCAAAGTGCTGGGTTACAGGCATGAGCCACGGCCTGTAAAAGCCTTTTTTAAGACAAGTGTTTAGGGTGTTATAGTCATTGGGCATAACAGACCTATAACCTGACCTGGCCAGAGGAGAAAGACTACAGGAAATTTGCTTTCAAAGGCAGAGCCCTATGAACATTTACGTTCAGCGCGCACACACACACATACACACACACACACACACACACACGCTCACGGAGGATTTTATAGGAAGGAAACTGGTGAGGTCAATGATTTGTATCTGCACTTCAGCAAGATACAATCAGCAAACATGATACAATGACATGATTTTGCTGTGCAGATTCAAACTACTCACGGACGGAACAGCCTTACCTGGGGTTTCCGTAATATCACCTGCATTGGGTGAGCAATGGCAATGAGGAAGCGTCAAGGGAAAACAATAGCTAAAATAAGTCACATTTGCAACAGTGAAGCACTCAACACCAGCATCACAAAGCTACAAATTAAACTTAAAAATGGACATGGGTTCAATGAAAACAAGCAGGAAGTTGTAAAAGCTGCTCTTGAAATGGGAACGTAAAAACAAACTTCTCATAAATGTGAATCAGCTCACATTTGTCACTGGCAGTTTCCCAGGGCACAGGGGTCCAGGCACACTTACTGAAATCCACTGGCCAAGCACAGTCACCAGGCTTCAAAAGACATAGGCTTCTTGACACTGGGGTCTGAAAAACTATTCTTACAGGGCTGTTGTTTATATGGATTCTCAGGCTCTGGTCAGATTTTACGGTCCCTCAGAATCACAGTCACTGGATGTGTCAACTCAGGTGACACTGATACATTCAGGACTCAAAAAACCAACAGCAACATCAACAAGAACGGATGGATGTAGGCAACCCACACACTCCCTCTCCCAATAACTGCTGACAAGTCAACATCCCTGCAAGCTGGGAGAGCCTCAGCTGCTGCAGGACCTCCTACCTATCTGGCTGGTGGCCACCACGTTTCTGTACTTGGGGTGCTGGTTCACTGTGAGACAGAGGATGTCGTCTGTGTGCTCCAGATAGAAGCTCTGGCTCCCTGGGAGAGAGAGATCATGGGAGGGTGAACAGTGGGACCTAAAGACCTTTTGTAACTCCAAAGCATCCTGTGGAATCTTTGGAAACACCTTACAAAAGTGACAGCTTAAAGCCCCCATATTCTCACTTCCAGAATCATGCTTAGGGAGATGATGATCGTTTTTTTGAAATGTTCCTATTCTGTTCCAGGTCTGGGTGAAGAGGAGCTAGTGTCTGTTACCTAATACATTCCAGCTGCCCTTCAATGCTTCCCACTGCTCTGTGTGGGTCCAGAGCACAGCTCAATTATAGGGCCTCCCAGAGTCCAAAATGATGAAGGTCCAAGTTCCCTCCTCTCCATGGCACAGGACTGATGATTCTCAATGTCCACATCTGGGCAGATGTAGGGGTGGGGGCCTGGAGATGATGCTTCACTGAGCAAAATGGCACCACTTCTTCACGTGAAATATGAAATCCTAAGGGACTAATCATCTTTACTTAACAAATGCCAATCCACTTGGCGGCCTGGATAGTATAGGTGGTGGCTTTACCCCGGAAAGCCCTAACTCAACATATGTCACACATAGTGGAAGAAAGAGCACTTTATCATCTATCATAGCAAATGGGTTTGTTGACCTCCAAAGTGGCCACTTTAAACCCACTCAGATGCTCAAGAATCTAAAGGTGAATGATGGTGTAGATACACAGGGAAGGGGTGAACTGCTACCAATATGATGACAAGGCCAGAAAGGGAAGAAAATGTATCAGCAATATCAAGTCCCTCTTCCCCGAAATAGACACAAATCAACACGTGCCCATTGATTTCACTGTCTAAATCTATGTATGAATAACTACACAGAATTGACAACAAAATTTTTAAATGAAAGATTTTTTTCTTGAGGCATGAGCAAATAAGGCAAAATGTGAACCTGTTCAAATCTGGTGGTAATGATATAGTTGTCTGTTAATTTCTGAACGTTTCTTTTTGTTTGAAATGTTCATTTTTTCCATTTGAGTCATCACGTGGTTTGGGTTTTTTATTTTATTTTTATTTCTGAGACAGAGTCTCACTCTGTTGCCCAGGCTAGAGTGCAGTGGTGCAATCTCAGCTCACTGGAACCTCCACCTCCTGGGTTCAAGCAATTCTCCTGCCTTAGCCTCCCAAGTAGGTGGGATTACAGGTGCCTGCCACCATGCTGGGCTAATTTTTGTATTTTTAGTAGAGATGGGGTTTCACCACATTGGCCAGGCTGGTCTTGAACTCCTAATCTTAGGTCATCCACCCACTGTGGCATTCCAAAGTACTGGGATTACAGGCATAAGCCACCCCGCCCAGACTGATATTTTTGTTTATTATTTAATTGTTTTCATTCTCATTATAAATGTGGCCAAACTGTCAAAATACAACTTGAAAAATCTGAGCTGTCAAAAAATGGCTCATTGTAAAAATGAATAGGCAAAGTTCTACTGTGCTTTCTGCTTGGTTATGGTCTCTGAAGAATTTCTCCACTCCTCACACCCTGTCTCTCGCTTCCCTCCATGGCCCTCAGTTACAGAGGCCGATGTCAACATGGATGCCTTCTCTCTAGGGCCTATGATGACATGAGGTCAAGCTCAGGCCAGAAACAGAGAGGGCTCTGACTCTGGTAACTGAGCCTGAGCGTTACCAGGCCTAACTGAGACCGTGCTGGACTTGTGGGAATGGCTCAATAAGGGGAGGAAAATGCTTAAGCTTTTGGCCAACAAAAGAGTGGGGAAAACATGTTTAAAAAAAAAAAAAGCTATAAGAAACACCTGTATTTTTTAACCCCCCCAGTTACCTGTGGAGAGGTTCTGAACAATGCCAGCCGCCGCAGTGTGGAAGATGATGTCGGCACCATCATTAAGGTAATGCAGGTTATTGCGACAGTCGAATCCTCTGTAGCCAAACACGTGGTCTAGAGCCAGCTCCTGCATTCACACACACAGATGAGCGTGACCCTCAGAGGAATGAGGGGAGAGCCGAGGAACACACCCACACTGCCTGAGTGGCCTCGTGTGTACTGGGAATGGTATGGCTGGTGAGGCCAACACACGCTCACTGAAAACATTTTGTTTCTTGACTAGCTGAGGATAAAACTTTTTAGTTTTCTGAAATGCTGGGGTGTCAGAGTAACACACAGAATTACTGTGACTTTCCAAAAAAAACAGATTTATTTCCCGGCTCCTTAGGTGTGCCAAAGTACACAGATTTGATGCCCTGTAAAGGGTGTCTAGCAGTTTTGTGTCTGTGCCCTGGCGGGCCCTCTGGATGAGCTGAATGGTGGCTCAGAGGTCTTCTCTAAGAAACTCTCATAAACATGGCTGGGGTGGGCAGAGCAGAACACGGGGCCAAGGCCATGCTCGTTCTGCTGCCTGGTGCTTGCTCTACAAAGTGTCTACCTGTTTGCATTTTTTTCTCCCCAAAACTAGGTACCGTTCTGGGTTTATAGTCTTGCTCTTCTTCTGTCTTGTCTTCTAAGACAAAGAACAGTGGCTGATTCTGATTCTGATCAGTTCTTAATCCAACACAGATTTCTCAGGCAGCTCCTCGGTGCCTAGCACGGTATAGGTGGTAGGAGGGAGTGTGGGTGGGGAACCGCAGGATGGTTTAGGGTGCAAAGCCTCAGGGAAGGCTGCACAGAAGAGATACCGGAGGAGGTCTTGGAAGGACCAGAGTGTTGGGAGCTGGCAGGAGGAGCTTTCTAAGCAGAAGGAAAGACAATGCAGGGGTTTGAAAGTCCCAGGAAGCTTCCGAGGACACTAGCGGTGGGTTTGTTGCTGGGAGATTGGCATGGTGGTGAGGAATCACAGGCAGTAAGCGTAGAAGGTGGCTCTGGGTAAGGTTTTGAAACCATTAACTTGAATCCCATTGGCAATGTGGGACTCTCCCAGGTCTGAAGGCTAGCATGATGCATGGAAGATGTATATTTTAAAGACCTAACTCTGGAGGCATTGGGGCATGCATCAGAGAGAGAGGGCAGAGTCTGAAATGAGACAGAACAGTCAGGAGGTCTCTGCCAAAACAGCGGCTTTATGAGAGCCTAGTCTCAACAGCTGATTTCAGATCCCTTCCCACTTACTGGCTTGGTGATCCTGAGCTTGGGACCTAACAACTCCCTTAACTCCCCTCAACCACAGCATCCTCATTGGGAAAATGGAAGCAATAGTGGTGTGTCCCTCCTGCGTGTGAGGATTGCATGAAACACTTCATGGCTATGGAGCTGCGCACTGGCACGGTCAGGGCTCAGGCAACATTAGAGACTCTGAGTAAGCGCCCCTGTCTCTTTTCTTTCTTCTCCGTGGAAGGGATGCTGACCATCCAAGTGGGATTGGTGGAGGGAGAAGGAGCCAGGCTTCAGGGACATAGGACGTCTTAGAGTTAGCACTGAAAGGACCTCGTGACAGGCCTGGGGAAAGCCAGAATGTGACACAATGGCTGCAATTCTGGTCCCTGAGTGGGAGACACAGGGCCACATGGGAGGGAAAAGGGACAGAAGAGAGCCAAGGGCCCTGCTCAGCTTCACTTGACTGTGTCTATGGGACATACAGATGGAAATGTCCACCAGGTAGGTCTCAGAACGTCAGTATCAGGTTAGAAGCAAGATTGTTTCACTTCCTTACCTCAACCAGTTTCTTTTTCTTGGTGATATTATTCTTCTGCAGTTTCTCAGGCTGGGGAGCTGCTCGGCTAACGGGTGGCCTGGAAGAGAGAGTGGCCAGAGGAAGCGCAGCATTGAACACGGGCTGCAAGGCGGCCTTCCCGGCACCCCTATCTAGGCCAGTGCTGGCCTCCTCTCTCCTCCCCACTCAGAGGCCCCTCCACCTGGATCTGTTGGGTCCTGCCCTCCTCTCTCCCTCTTCACCTGCCACAGGGAAGGGGTCTGAACTCACAGGCCCTGGGTTGGGCCTCCCCACACCTGGGGCACTGGGCCAGGGTCAGCCCTCCTCCCTCTGCTTAACCTTCTCCTGGGAGCAGGAAGAACAATGGGCTTGAAACAAGAGGGGCTTCGTTCAAAACCAAGAAGGAGCCTCACCATGAGGGGAGAGATGCCACATTTCCTGGCCTTGCTGACATTTTTCAGACAAGGATGTGCTAATGTTAGAATTAAGCTGTCAACGGTCATGGTGTGGCATGAAGTGAAACTTACAAGCCAGGCTTCAAAACAGGCCCTAAGGACCACATGCCAAGTGCCCAGGTTGGCTGCACTTCACAAAAGGGCAGGCAGGATGCAGAGGCAGAGAAGACAGAAATCACTCATGCCTCCCACTCTGCCCTCGCCTCAGGGCTCGGGTCTGCACTCAGCTGCTACCACAACAAAGGTTGCTTTTCCCTTCTCAGTTTTGGGGACTGGGGCCACCACATTTAATGAAGAGATTTTATTATGTGTAAGCCCTAACAGAATCCTAGATGACTAGGCCAGTTCTTGGTGATGTGGGGTTTCCTTACATCAGGTTTCTGTTTTGGAAACCCAGGATGGGTCGAGAGAGATTGTACCAGCTCCCACCGCACGTTCCAGAGTAATTAGTTATTGTTCTCAGGATATGCAAAGAGAAAGGATTACCTTGATCCCCTTGTAAGCAGCAAACAAAGCCAAGTGAGAAACTTAGTACAGTTTAGAGCTGCATTAGCAACCACCTCATTCATGCACAAGCATATTCCAAGTGAACAGACATTCCTGTGTGGCACAAACCATGCTTCCCCAGCATGCCAGCAAAGAACTAAAACAGAAATGAAAGAGTGCACCAGTCTACAAATTCAGAAAGCTCATACCCTGGCGTCTCTGGGCAAACTCTGCACTAAAGCGCCTACAGAATAGGGAGAGAAAAGGAAGCCTTGTCAATGCTTCCCGCACACTCTCCGCGACTTTACGAATGCGCCTGGGGACTCTGCTTATTTTAGTGTATGCTGGGGAGAAACCTGCCGCCAGAAAAACAATGATATCTTCCTGGATGTCCTGGGGAGTTCTGTACAATGGATACTTTGTTTCCAAACCAAGTTCAATTCATAATTTAGCCTAACAATTCCCAGTGTTTCTTGGTAGGTCAGCTTGCCTGCTTGAATAGCTTGCAGGGGTTCTTTTTGTGTGCAGGGGAAAACAGGGTACCTTTATTTTCTCAGAAACTTTTCAATCAAAACATGTTATATAATCATAAGGGATAATTGGACCAAACGGTATTGTAATCACCACTGAAGAATGGGGAGAGAGCATGTCTCTGCAAAACGACACCCCCGGCTGACATCATCGCCACCAAATTGAGCAAAATCGAGAGACTGGGGGCATGCCAGTTCTCACAATTAGACACTTCCTTCACATTAATTATCGCTTCCCAGGACATCTGCTCTTTCTTCTGTTTTAGTGGGACTTTCAAATGAAATCCGTGGGTTTCTTCTTTCACCTAAGAACATTTAAGTTATGACAAAAGCAAGCCAGGGGCTGTGAGAGCAGGAGGACACTGGAACTATGCATGGTTCAAAGGCGTAATTCGAGGATAGACACAGGGCTCGTTTTCAGGGGACACGCAGGTTGTATAATATGTGATATATTATACAGTGAAGAGAGAGTATGCATACAAGCACAAACACCATGGACTTATATATATAGGAGATTGTATATATATATGTATATATATACGCAGAGGCAATCCGATGCTTTTTCACCTTGATTTTCAGAAAAAAACCGAAAGGTAAAGCAATCTCAGAATGTTTCTTTCTCATTTTGCAAGCATATGTTTACAGCTGTATTGCTTCAAAACTGAAGATGAGAGGCAAGGGGAAGAAACCTGCATTATGGCAAATTCAGCGGATTTTAAGTATTGACCCTTCGAGGTTGTGGATTCTGCGTGAACACTTAGTACCGGATGTTTACCGAACACCTGTGTTTTTCTCTAGAGCGGCGTGAATACTTACTTGACAATTCCCTGCCTCCAAAGGAAAGCAAGTTAAAACACAATACAAGTATTAAAGACTTCTTTCCAGGCATCCAGAAACAGTGCTCACAACATCAGACATGGGAAGGACTGCCAGAGATTTCACAGAGCCAAACACTGGAGGTTTAACATTTTTCTGTGGGTCTCAATCCTTTCAGATTCAGATTCCATCAGAAATGGGACTCTGAAAAGCTTTGCTGACATGGGAAAAAGTGGAGGGCGTGAGGACATTCACTCACTTTCAGTCCAGTAAACTCATTAGAGTTGGTGGTTCCTAGCTGGCACAGGATGGGAGTGGGGGGAAGGTGGTGGGCGCAACCAGGCATTGGCAGGGAGACCAGCCTGCAGGGCCAAGAGCTGGGAAGAGGGAGGTGAGAAACCAAGGTGGGAGGAGCAGAGGCACAACGGGGCCTGCTGGGGCAAGTAGACTTGGAGGTGACTGGGTGAGGAGGGCAGGGCCGGGAGACAAAGGAGAAAGAGCTTCCATTGGACAATAAATTAAAGGAGGGAGCTGGCAAGACAGCAAACAAATCGGATAATCAGGAGAGAGGGCAGCAGACAGGCCTGAGCTCTGGAGACCGGGAGAAGCCTGCCAAGGAAGAGAGAGTGAAGGCAGGAAGCCCAGGGCGGGGACATGAACTCCAGCCTGAGGCTTGCTGTTGAGTAACAAGGCCCTCCTCTTCAGTGCCTGTGAGGAGTCACTACCCTGTAACCATTGTGGAAATGGGTGGCACATTCTGTGGGTGGCACACTCTGTGGGCAGGGCAGTATCATGGGAAGGACAATTCCTGCCCAGCAGCTGGGCTGCTGAAGAGAAGGCTTAGACTCAACTGAAGATGTGGGGGTGCTATCCTGACACGGGCTCTCGCTCTCCAAAGGCCCCCAAGGCAGGCCAATGCCCGGGTACTTGTCCCTCCTTCCTCCTCCCCAAGGCACTGGGCTGACAGAGCAAGAGGTGGAGCAGAGCACACAATGACCCGAGACATGGAACAGAACAGTCAGGGCCAATGCACTCAGGGAGGCTTCTGAAACCACTGAGGAGGTCATGAGTCAGTTGAAGCCCAAGATAAGCACAACTCGAGAGCCAAATGGGGAGCGAGGCTGGGACAGCCTGTGAGAAACAAAGTCGTTCCTACCAGTTTCTATAAAGAGGGGTGTGGGTGTGGGTGTGGGGAAACTCAGCTCCATCTAGCCAAGAAACAAGTCTGAAGTTGTTTTGAGTCGTGTTCATCAGACAAGGTTCAAAGTGTCCTTGGAGGAAATGGCCTTCTTCAGCTTCCAAAATGCTGCATAAAATGCTCCAAGAGTTTTCAGGATGTCTTAGGAAACCCAGATACCCTTGATCCTGGTTTTAGATAGGAACCAGTAAGTGACCTGAAACTCTTAGAATTGTCCCCCAGCAGGATCTTATCAGACTTCAGGAACTGAATGAACACCCCTGATACTCATACCAAATTGTGTTTCCAGATGTGCATCTTTATGGGGAAAGGAGGCATGTTTTAATTCAATTTTCAAAGATGTCTGTGATCTGAGAGAAAGAGAGGGACTGGGGAGGAGAGGGGTAGGGAGGAGGGAGATAAGGAGGGAGAGGGGGAGGGGAAGGGGGAGGGGGAGAAAAGAGGAAGCGGCAGAAGTGGGGAAGAGGAGGGGAGGGGAAGAAAAGAGGGAGGGAGAGGGGGAGGAAAAGAGGGAGGGAGAAAGGGGGAAGGGGAAGGAGGGGGATGGGAAGGGAGAGAAACACTGAGAGAGAGATTAGCAACCACTGCTCTAGGATAAATCCAGGCCTAGGGAAAATGTCCAGAGCCATGGGGACTCTGTTACCCAGACCAAATTAGACTACGTTAAGTGCATTCCTCAGAACTGGACTCTGTTGAGAATATTCCTAAGAACTGGACTCTGTCAAGTGTATTCCTATGTCTTCCAGAATCATGTACGGAGATGCTCAGTGATGGAGTTGATGGAAAGGATTCAGGCAGAAGAACCACAGGATGTCTTGAAAGAAGCCCACCATCTTGAAAATGCTCCTGACTGGTGCCTGTAACACAGCTTTGTGTTTCTTTGTTGTTGTTTAAAAAATGAGGATATGATCTTAGACTCGGCTATTTTAGGTGGATAACAAGTTATCTGTGTGAAAACATGAGAGAATAAAGGGTGGAGTGAAGAGAACTAAGAGTAAAGACGGGCAGAATACTGAAGAGGCCACTGTGATGATCCAGGAGAGGAATGATGAAGCACTTGACTAGAGCAGTGTTTATGGAGAAGAAAACAGTTGAATATTTAAAGAAATGTTGGTGAAATAGACTCCACAGCACTTTGTCATGGATTGTCTTTAGGGATTCATTAGGAAAAGCAACCCAAAGGCAAGACCAGTTTTCTGGCTTGGATATGGGATTAAATGATGGTATCACGGAATGAGACAGAGAGAAAATATTAATGAAGGAAGACGATGAGTTCAGTTTTGCCATGTTGAGCTCTGAACACCTGTGAGATAGCTTTGTTAGTTGGAAGTTCCACTGAGAGATGGGAGTCCGTCATAAGACCCTGGGACTCACTAGCCAATGGATGGGATATAAAAGATTAATTAAGAAAGAGGGTAGATGGTAGAGGGTGAAAAGAGGCCAGCCATAGGTAAAATCCTGAGGACCAACAGCAGTGTAAGGGGCTGGAAGAGGAAGCAGAGGTGAGGCATCAGGAGGGCCAAGAGAGATTTTTTTCAAAAGGGCAAGAAGAGAATGTTTATATTCTTCTCTAATATGCACTGTCCAGTACCGTAGCCACTGCCACATGTGGCTTTCAAGAGCTGGACTTGTGCTATAACTGTAAAATACACACTAGAATTTGAAGTCCTACCAATAAAAATTCAAAAGAATGTAAAATAATTTTATATTAATTACATGCTGAGATATTTTTAAATATGTTGAGTTAAAATATGTAAATTTCACCATCTCAACTTTTTTAATGTGCCTGCTAGAAAATTTATACACATGGCTCATGTATTTCTATTGGACAGTGCTACCCTACATGACACAAGTTCTTTTGGCCAGACAGAGAGAGGAGAGTCACAGGACTTGGGAGTTAGAGAGCCCCAATGTCAGCAGAATGGCAGGGACAGAGGACAAGTGAGATGGGGTAGAGAGTGAAGAAAAGACTTCAAGGCCTGAATGAGAAAGGAAAAAGGTTGGAGGGAAGGTGAGTGCAGAAATGTGTGTGTAAGTGTATAAGATCAGTCAAAGGACCTGTTTTTTTCTGAGGAGCATTGGGTGGAGATGGGAAATGGGGATGTGACTTTCTGCTGAGGACATGGATCCGGCTGTGGGAGAGTGACACAGGAGACACAGATGAGAGGACAGACGATGAGGGAGCACGGATGCACAGGAGGCTGGGGCCCAACTACCAGGTGAGGGACCCGTCTCAAAGAGGAGAAGGGACTTACTTCCTCTGAGAAGGAAGAAGGTGAATGGCTTATGTGAGTGAAGGATGGGAAGGAAGATGTAAAGAGACAGAAGCGCCAAGATGGAGTGTGTGCCCATGACTTCTGTTTTCTCAGTGAAGAAGGGGCAGGAGGTTTACAAGGGGTGAACTCTGGATGACTGCCGAGGAGCAGCAGAGAGAACCAACCAAAGGATGCAAATGAGGCAGGAGCTTGGAGGGCCAAGTGCAGCAGCCAGGCAGGCTCTCTGGTGGTGGCCGTCTGTGCCAATGCGGGGCTTCCTGTGAGAAGAATGGAGAGGCAGGTGGTAGAAGGAATGTAGGGGAGAAGGGCCAACAGGAAATGGCATTTAGGCAGGCACATAAAGTGAGGCCAGGAAGGGCTGATGAACTTGGGGAAAAATGAAGGTGTCTAGGCACTCATTTGTCTTGATGAAGATTGGGTGTATCCGGGAATGGGAAATCCAGAGGAGAGTTGGTTAAGACACTGAGGGACAGAGGAGTTTCAGGTGATGACATCACCCAGGGCATGGCAGGAGCTGGCTGAGGCTGGCCAGTTGACCATGAGCTGAAATGCTCAGAGACAGGAAGTCGACAGATGACAAGAACCAGAAGGGGCGGAAGATGGCAGAGCACAACACGAGCTTCAAATGAGCGGGAGGGAGCCGGGTAAAGAGCACGTCAACATACTTTAAACACACCCACAAGAGCACCCCGATCCTCCACACCTTTCACTCCTGCAAATGCCTCCCTGGTTACCATATCTTGACCACACACTAATCGACAGAAGGAGGGTCGACACCCTTGGTAACCGCCATTCCCTTCAAATGGAGAATCTATGAGCTATTCAGGCACTTGCCTAAAATAATCAGACCCAACTCTGCCACCGAATCGGAAAGACACTCCCTTTTGACAGAAAAGTACTTACATATTTTCGAAGTGTTCTTTTATCTCCACAAGTGAGTAGGTTTGATTCAATGATTACACTGTAGGAGTATGATTTCCTAGGCACGTTAATCTTTTCTAAAAATCATTTTCCAACACTTTACTTCTGGATTTTTATACAACGTCCACTCTTTGACATCAGAAGTGAACAAACTATTCTATAATGAACAGCAGGTTTAATTTCTAAAATCAGATAGAAGTCATTGCTTTGCTTCAAACCAATACAGAAAATCAAGGAGTCTGAATAAAGAAAATCATTTCTGAAAAAAGCGTTATATTCACTTAGAAAAAAATCAACTAATGATTCAACTTTTGGTGGAGTTACCTAGCTAAGCAATGGGCCTTGGAAATGACTAACTTCAGCATCTGGGTTCAATAGATATTATAATTTCAGTCCCTTCCATCTTCAGAAAACAGGAATCTTGCAGTTCTACCTGCTCGCCACAGCTCTGCTGGCAGAACTCTTCGTGGGGTGGAGAAGAACGTAGCTTAGAGAGAAGGGCCTTGGAGCAGGAGTGCTCCTCAGCCTGTGTGCACTACACATGTGCCATCACTCTCACACAGGGAGGGCCGGACTCAGCTTAAACACAACATGCAGGCAACTGCAGATCTCTGTACCAA